CCCAAAAAAAACCCACCCCCACATTGTCACAGGAAGAGATATGTCATTTTCTGTTCCCGGACGAGTGTTGGAGCAGGGAGACCGAAATTCTGTACCAAGGAAAGCAGAATTCCATGGCCTGGGCTAATTATGCAAATGGAGGAAAAGCGTATGATTTTATACCAGTAATTTGGTTTGCTTTTTCGAAAGCATTCTCATTTATTCTGCTTCTTCTAGTTGTGGCTCCCAGTACGTTTCCGAGCACAATTCAAAGTGTTGGTGTTGACCTTTAAAGCCCTAAACGGCCTCAAAGGCCCTGTAGACCTGAAGGAGCGTCTCCACCCCCATCATTCTGCCTGGACACTGAGGTCCAGCGCCAAGGGCCTTCTGGCAGTTCCCTCCCTGCGAGAAGCCAAGGGAACCAGGCAGAGGGCCTTCTCGGTGGTGGCACCTGCCCTGTGGAACGCCCTCCCATCAGACGTCAAAGAGAAAAATAACTACCAAACTTTTAGAAGACATCTGAAGGCAGCCCTGTTTAGGGAAGCTTTTAATGTTTGGTGCATTATGGTATTTTAATATTTTGTTGGAAGCCACCCAGAGTGGCTGGGGGAAAATAAATTATTATTATTATTATTATTATTATTATTATTATTATTATTATTATTATTATTTTATTCCCGCGAGGGCCTGGTCTAGCAATCGGGCATCTCATGTCCTGACGAAAGGAGATGTGTGATCCGCAAAGCTGATGCCATCATAAATGCGTTTGCAATGCGCCACATGGCTGGCAGGGCCTGCCAAAAGGGGTATCGAATGGGTCTCTCTCTCTCTCTCTCTCTCTCTCTCTCTCTCTCTCTCTCACACACACACACACACACACACACACACACACCATATCTTATCTCATGGCCTGTTATTTTCATGTTCATCCATCCCCAAACAAACTGAGGCTCAGCTAGAAAGTTTAAAGATTACAGATAGAAGTAAAAAAAGAGAAAAAGTAAACAATACAAATCAATACATTACAATACATAAAGAGAAAGGAAAAAAACAAAAGACACAATACATCAAAACAAGAACAAAAGCAAAAACAATTAAAAACACATCCAATATTTCCATATCTTTGTCTTTCATTAACTTGTTTCATCGACCTCCTCACACCTCCCTTTTTGTATTCTAGTTATTAATTATTTCAGCAAATCCTTTCCATCTTTCACTGTTTTCTGTCATTTAATTGTCTTTATTTATTTTAACCTTATCTTACCATTAAAACCCTAAAACTTATTTGAACTTAACTCCTTATAACGTTTCTACTAAAGCCATGTAATTTCATTCCAACATTTTTCTAACACTCATTAATTTTACAACATTTCTCTAAATAAATTTTAAACTTTTTTCCAATCTTCTTTCACCGTCTCTTCTCCCTGGTCTCGGATTCTGTCAGTCCTTTCTATCAATTCCATATGGTCCATCAACCTGGTGATCTTCTGTCCGAGGCTCTTAACTCTTTTCCATGTCCCTTCTGCAGATCTTCATATTTATACATGCACTTAACTTTATCTTCTGCTGATCTTGTTCTTAATCTTCTTCTTCTTCTTGTTGTTGTTTGCAATGTTTTCCCCTTTCTCTTGATCAGGTCCCAGCAAACTTTTTCAGCAGAGGGCCGGTCCACTGTCCCTCAGATCTTGTTGCGGGCAGGACCACTTTTTGAAAAAAATATATGAACAAATCCCTATGCCCCACAAATAACCCAGAGATGCATTTTAAACAAAAGCACACATTCTACTCATGTCAAAACACGCTGATTGAGGGCTGGATTGAGAAGGCGATTGGGCCGGATCTGGCCCCCAGTTTGATGCTTTCATCCTCTGCAACATGCAAGCTGGGTTTTATACTGCCAGGCCCCCTGGCCTCACAGCATTTATGCTTTTGCAAAAACTCCTAGGTCCAAGTCTCAGCGCACCCCCCCCCCTTAAAATATCTCAGGTGAGGGAGCTGGAATGAGCCTCTGTTGTAAGACCTTGGAGAGCTCCTGCTGGAAGAGCCTGCAGTTCAGGGCTGCATAGATGGTTAGATGGCGACTCCTTTTTGAAACAACTCCCTCCTCATTTATCCTACAGATCTGCCACATGGCAGCCTATCCCTTCAGGGGGCAAAAGCACCACGAAGTCTACCTAGGGAACTGCCAACGGCTTTGGCGCCATTTCTCTGCCGTCTTAAGAGATCCACAGCCAGGGGCCCCGGGGCCCTTTGACCAGAGTGTCCCTTAACGGTGGCAATGCTACACAATAGTGCCACCTGCTGGATTCATCACCTGGAGCAATCGCGATGCAAAGCACTTGCGTGCCTCTTGAAGTGTGCCCGGAAAAGGCCTGGGTAGCCAGTATGTGGCAGCAGGTAAAGACTTTACCTTCCCAATGGTCTTAAGAAAGCACTCAGGTTTCTAGCCCTCATGATTGCAAATGTGATCTTTAACAGGCGATGCTCAGTAAGTTTCGGAAGCCAGAAGAATCACGGAATAAAAACTCCCTGTATCAGAAGACAGGGCTTTGGGTTGCTGCAAAATCCATAATAATAATAATAATAATAATAATAATAATAATAATAATAATAATTATACCCCGCCCATCTGGCTGGGTTTCCCCAGCCACTCTGGGCGGCTTCCAACAAAACACTAAAATACAATAACCTATTAAACATTAAAAGCTTCCCTAAACAGGGCTGGCTTCAGATGTCTTCTAAAAGTTTGGTAGTTATTTTTCTCTTTGACATCTGGTGGGAGGGCGTTCCACAGGGCGGGCGCCACTACCGAGAAGGCCCTCTGCCTGGTTCCCTGCAAACACACTTCTCGCAGTGAGGGAACAGCCAGAAGGCCCTCAGTGCTGGACCTCAGTGTCCGGGCAGAACAATGGGGGTGGAGACGCTCCTTCAGATATACTTCCCAAATATGTGAAAGCTCAGTCACAGCCCCAGGGTTTGACTAGCAGTACCATTGCATGGGCTCCGAAAGGCATGTGAGCTTCCCGACTGGATGCTTGTGTCATTGCCCCATGGAGGGGGGGGGCTGTCCCTCAGTTGGTAGCGAGGCCTTCTTTGCACGTCCAGGGGGGTGTCCAGCCTTTCGACAGCGGAAAGGGCCTTGAGTGACAGCAGGAATGGGGGGGGTGTCCCTGGAGAGCTAGGCATTTCTTAAATAACCCCCCCACACCATTTTATATCATCCCAAGGGGCGCAGGTGGCGCTGTGGGTTCAACCACAGAGCCTAGGACTTGCTGATCAGAAGGTTGGCGGTTCGAATCCCCACGACGGGGTGAGCTCCCGTTGCTCGGTCCCAGCTCCTGCCAACCTAGCAGTTCGAAAGCACACCAGTGCAAGTAGATAAATAGGTACCGCTCTGGCGGGAAGGTAAACGGCGTTTCCGTGCACTGCTCTGGTTCGCCAGAAGCGGCTTAGTCATGCTGGCCACATGACCCGGAAGCTGTACACTGGCTCCCTCGGCCAATAAAGTGAGATGAGCGCCACAACCCCAGACTGGACCTAATGGTTAGGGGTCCCTTTACCTTTAAGGAGCTGGAGGCAGCATTCCAGAAAGATTCCTCCCCTCTCTCCCCTTCCTCATAACAACCCTGCGAGGGCGGCTGATGGGGAGACAGAACTTGACGGCTGAAAGTGGCCCCTGGGGCCTCTCCAGTCCTGGCCCTGCTGTTAGGTCTGATTCTGGCTCCAGGCAGCTTCTTGTGGCCCCCTCTGGGGGGTGGTGCGTCCAAGGCAGAAATCAGGGTGCAGAGATAACTCGGGGGAAGGGATGGGTGGATGTGATGGAAGAGGGGCAGAACCCGCCCCCCTCCGTTTCCCCTTCTCCCCTTCCTTGCTCCTCTGCCCTAGAGCGCGCAGCTGCCTCCTTTCCCCTCCCTTCCACCTGCTCCCCCCTCCCAGCTCTGTCAAAGCCCCCAAGGCAAAGAATAGCTCTTCTCTCTCTCTCTCTCTCTCCCCCCCCTTCTGCAAGCTTGGCCCAGCTCCTCGCAGCCAATCTGCTGGGGGGAAAGGAGGGAGGTGGGTCTCTCTCCTCCAACGTCAGGGGCTGGGTTCCTAAGCTCTGCCACCGCCACCGCCTGCAGCCCAGGACAAGCGGAAAAAGAGGGATGCTGTGAAGAAGAAGCGGGCCTGGGGGGGCTGCTTGCGCTTTCTCTCTCTCTCTCTCTCTCTCTCTCCCCTCAACACAAGGCGCCCCCTCCTCTTCCTCTCTCTCTCCCCTCTCTCTTTCTCTGTGCGTCCGTCCCCCCTCCAGCCTCTGCTTCTCCCCCCCCGCCCTGCTTGACCCTTTCCCCTGATTCCCCCCCACCCACCCAAAGGGCACCTTTGGGATCTGTTTTCCAACTGGGAGCGAAGGACAGAGGGGACCTTCCTATTTTCCCACACCCCCCCCCCGCGCGCGCGGCGCTTTCTCCCTGTCTCCAATTCTCCCCTGCTTTTTCTGGGGTGCTAGTTCCTGACTTTCTTCAGGGGTTTTGTGGTTTTTTCTTGGCCTGAAGGGGCGGGCGGTGGGTGGGAGGGAGGGAGAGGGTCACAGAGGAAGTCAGACAGAGAGAGAGAGAGAGAGAGAGAGAGAGAGAGAGAGGACTCAGGAAAGCTGACCTCACTGCCACCCACCCGCCCACCCAAATCCATTTTGCATTCTCCTTTGTCAATTTCACCTGGCCAGCAGGTCGCAGGTCTCTTTGCTCTGCGCTCCCCCCCCCCACTTTCTGGACACACCTCCCTCCTCCTTCTCCCAACCCCCCCTCCCTTAAAAAAAAAACCCCGAGCATCCTTTCTTATCTCCCCCCCCCCACCTCCCCCTGCTGGAGTCTCACGGGTACCGCGGAGGGGAAGTCCTCCGCGCCCTCGGCATGAAAATGATGGCAGGAGGTTCGGTGCACCAGAACGGTATCTTCCCCTCGGCAGCTCTTCAGCAGCAGCAGCAGCAGCAAGGGGGGCCCCAGCCGCAGCAGCAGCCCCCCCAAGCCCCTCCGCAGTCCCACATGGATTCGGACCCTCCCGACTCTAGGAAAAGGCCGCTGGAGACCCCCACCGAAGCCATCAGCACCAAGAGGAGCAACACCGGAGGTGAGTGGACTTGGGGGGGGGGGAAGGGGCTGGCAGCCAGGGAGGCTGCCAAGGGGCAGGAAGTCAGGGGTGACCAGGGCCTCCCCCCCCCAAAAACATATACACACACTCCCGGTCCACTTCGCATATGTGTGCACTGCAAGCGGGGTGATCTGGGGCGCAGGGCGGCTCTAGGGAAAACCAGGGCACCAGAAAGGCACCTCGGTCTCCCACAGGCCTCTTCCTTCAAGCTACTTGTCTGCTGCCTCCCCCCACCCCAAAATCTGCCCCGCAAAACAGCCCCCCCTCCCCATACCTCCGGACAGCCATATATCTCCATCCTTTTCAGGCGCCTCTTCCCTTAAGCAGCCCCATCCCTCCTAATGCCAACCTGAGCCAGATTTTGCACCTCTGCACCAAAGCTGACCCCCCCATTAAAAAAAAACCACCCATGTTTGAACCCGGCTCCCTCCCCATGCCTGTCTCCACCTGTCCCCATCCACCTCTCCATCTTCCTTTTGTGGACTTGCCCTCTTCTCCTTATTTTCATGGGGGGTGTTCTTTGCCACACCCCAAAGGATGCAATTTGCTCCCCTTTTAGCTATACCCCCCTGCAATAAAAACAGGGGGTTATCTCCTCTTTTACAATGTGGAATTCAAAAAGATGGGTGTCTTTTTCTCCCAGTCCAGCGCTGCCTCTCTGCCCCGTAAGGCTTTCAGGGTATATGATTTAATCTGCTCTGCACCTTTATCCTCACAAACAGTCCCCCTTGTGATTTTTAAATTCTAGATTTTTACAGCCCGGCCGAGGGGATCCTTTGCAATGTGCCCCCCCCAACTCAGAAGGCGTGTGGCAGCGGAGTGCAGAAAATATAAGCTCCCCCTAAAAACGCACATTTCTCTGCAAAGATTTTACTAGTCTATGCAGCTGGTTATGTCAAAATGGAGTCTGTTAGAATAACTGTCTGTTTCCAGGGAAGAGGGGAAAGGAGTGGAGATATTCCGCCCCCCCCCCACCGCTCACACACATATAGACTATGGAAAACCTGTCAGCCCCCTTCCTCTCCTCCCCCCCCCCTTCCATGACTGTCTGCCTGAGGAAATGAAGAGGGGAAGGATGTGAAAATCTGGACTCAAAAGAGGATGCAGGCAGCTGGGTTGTTGAAAAGGACACTGTGTGATCCAGGGATTTGTGGGGCGCTGGAGACAGAGGGAAAGGGAAAGGGGGGTCAGAATAATGTCAATAGAGTATGGGGGGGGGAGAAAAAGAGAGCATTTCTTGATTTTTTTAAAAAAAATATGTACGCAAAAGGGCTTTAAAAATGCTAATGGTCATTCCTGGCGCCTGAATTTCGGTTGACACTAAAGCTGTGTAAAAATAGGGATTTGCAAAGCGCCTCTCTGTGTCTTTCTCTTTCTGACTCACCCATCTGGGCTCCTTTTGTGAAGGACGACTTCACTTATTCTGCTGTTTCTGAGCCGATAGCAGTAGCTGCGTGCCGGCTCTGTGCCTGCTGGACTCTTTTTAGTATCCTCATCATCATCCTCCTCATTATTATTATTTATTATGTACTAATAATTGGACCTGGTTCCGTTTTTATTGCTTGCGCGTTGATGAACCTATGAAGGCGTGCGCTCTCTCTCTCTCATACAGACACAAACACACACACACACAACACCATCACCCTCCAGATGTAATTAACATTTCGAGATGCGTTTGAGCTTCAGCGTTAGGGCAAGAAGCAATAAATATTGCGTCTGAAAGAGCCCCGGGGTCCTCTGGGGAAATCGACCTCCTTTATGACAGCGTCGCTGATGGGACTAATGGAGCAACTGGAATAAATAAAATGGGGAAAGGCGCGCGGGGGGCGGGGGGCGCCGGACTTATTGTTTTCTGTGTGTGTGTTTCACGTTTAAGAAAGAAGGAAGGAATTGGGGGGGGGGGTGGAGAGGAGAAGGTGAGCAAAAAAAAGGAGCCCATTTCTGGCGATATTCTAAGCATGCCTTCGTAGGCGGGTTGCGTTGGAGGAGGAGGCGATGGGGAAATCGCTTGGGCGGGGGGGTTGCAGCTGGAGCCAGGCAGCCACATATTTCAGGCTGGCGCTTTGGATGCCTTGCCCCCCCCCACCGCACCCCTTTGCCAGCCAATCCCACCTTTGCTGCTCAGGGTGTCGCGTTTTTCCTCCCTTTCCAAGCGGTGCCCCCTAGCTCTCCGCCGCCGCCCCCGTTTGGGGTTCGCTGCCCGTGATGGATTTGGGGAGGGAGGGGGAAGAAGGAGATGCATTGATGGCATTGCAGGGGGAGTGGGGTGGGGAGGAGTGTGACGGAGATGGAGGGGGACGCCTTAGTGGTACCTAGTGTGCATCGCCAAAGGACACCGATTGCCGAGGAAATGCGCAAGAGCGAAAGTCACGCAGGCCTGGCGGCGGCGGCAGCAACAGCGGCCCAGCCGGGAGGTTAGCAAAGCGCCTGGGTGCTGGAGTGCCCGCTTGCGTGTGCATGTGTGTGTGTGTGTGTGTGTGCATGCGTGTGCGCCTCAGTGTGCCACATCTCACGCGCGGGTGAAGGTCAAACTGGGGTGGGCTGTTTTGTCCTTACAAAGTTTGGGTGTTTGATTTTCAGCCTCAGCATCCTGGAGGATGGAGAGGGGGGCATGTACCCAACAATTCTTGCGCCTATGATCTGATTCATCCCTGCTTCTGATGGGGGAAAAGGCAGGTTTTATGGAGTCCTTGGGGACTTCCACAGAGACCAGGATGTCCCCTCCACTCTCTGCTGGTGAAGCCCAGGCCTTCCCAGCTGTGGGGACGTCACCAGCCGGACTGGGCTGGCCGGCCTCTGGCTGCAGGCCTTTGTGGCACACTTGACGGGTTCCCCCAGGCCTGCTTGGGTGGCTGAGAAGGGTGCCAGGCCTTGGGAGACGGGGTTTAGGGCACGATGAGGCCTAGCGGCATGCGGAAGCGTTTTCTGCCGCAATTGTTATGCGTGGCACTCTAGACAGAGCTTTCCAGCTTTGGCTTGCGATGGGCCGTGCCAGAGGTCAAGGTTAGGGCTTGGGGCGTGAGTTCAGTTCCTGCTGTCCCTGGGTGACCTTGGCAGGGAGGGTGGGTGGGTGGTGGTCAATGCCTTTCTCCTTCACGCTGCCAGCGTGGCAAAAGCTCCGCGTTCCGAGCGCCGAGCATAAAATGGGTTACGACAGCCTGATGGAGCAGGGAGGCGCGTTGCCTGTCGTACCACCCCCCTAAAAATTGGCTGCAAAAAAACAGCTCCCCCCCATCCCATGCTCTCAGCGGTGCTGCTCCGAGACCCAGTTTCCGAGACAAAAGACCCAAAGGGGTTCTGGGCCTTTTTTTCCAGGGGTGGGTCTGTGGCAATTTGGAACTGGAATTGAGAGTGGGGTGGGCAGCAGGCAAATGCCCTCAGGTCTACTAGCACGACAGAGAGACACCTGTTCGAGTTGGGTGTCAGAAACCCGGGGAAGTGGGCGCTCTTTGCAACCCCACAGCAAGTGGGAAAACAAAGCTTAGGGAACCTGGCTCAGCTCAAAACCCAAAACCCAAACACCTTAAAGGACCATGACCAAATGAAGCAAGCAGGTCGGTGGGAGCTCTCCAGTATTTTGCACCGAGCTATTAATTTAGCAGGGACGCGGGTGGCGCTGTGGGTTAAACCACAGAGCCTAGGGCTTGCCGATCAGAAGGTCGGTGGTTCGAATCCCTGCGACGGGGTGAGCTCCCGTTGCTTGGTCCCTGCTCCTGCCAACCTAGCAGATCAAAAGCACGTCAAAGTGCAAGTAGATAAATAGGTACCACTCCGGCAGGAAGGTAAACGGCGTTTCTGTGCGCTGCTCTGGTTCGCCAGAAGCGGCTTAGTCCTGCTGGCCACATGACCCGGAAGCTGTACGCCGGCTCCCTCGGCCAGTAAAGCGAGATGAGCACCGCAACCCCAGAGTCAGTCATGACTGGACCTAATGGTCAGGGGTCCCTTTACCTTTACCCTATTTATTGAGCATTAATTCTGACTGGTTTGCAGGGAGGTTAGACAAAGCAGAGTCAAAGCAAGTGTTATATCCCACACGTATAACCCAGCGCAATTTCCCCGTCGCTTTTTATATGGCATGAGGTCTGATCCTTTGTGAAAAAGGGGTTTGTGGCTCAAGACGTGCCGGTAAACTGTCACTGCGCAGCCTGAGTGTGTTGGTATGTGACTGAATCCCGACCCCAAAACAGCGACAGTATGGAAGCCGCTTTGGTCTTACTTGTCTGTCTGTCTGTCTGCCTCCCGGTTACATGGTTGGGCAATGGGAGGGTTATACACCATGCAATCTGTTCTGGGCTCTTACAGAACAAGTTCATTCCCTTGCGGCCAAAGCAGCTGACCCAGAGAAGCAAAGTTGTATGTTGACAAAATCATCAGGGTTGTGGCACATAGAATCCTAGAACTGTAGAGTTGGAAGGGACCACGAGGGTCATCTAGTCCAACCCCCTGCAATGCAGGAATCTTTTGCCCAATGTGGGGCTTGAACCCACGGCCCTGAAATTAAGAATCCCATGCTCTACCAACTGAGCACTGTGTGGTGGTTAGAGCAGGGGTCAGCAAACTTTTTCAGCAGGGGGCCAGTCCCCTGTCCCTCAGACCTTGTGGGTGGTCGGACTATATTTTGGGGGGGAAATGAACGAATTCCTGTGCCCCACAAATAACCCAGAGATGCATCTTAAAGAAAAGGACGCATTCTACTCATGTGAAAACCCACTGATTCTGTTATTATTATTTTAAGAGGGAAATAAAAGAGGAAACTTACCAGGAACAATCCAGACTATATTGCTCAACTTAAATGATTCTAAGGCAGGAGTCAGCAAACTTTTTCGGCAGGGGGCCGGTCCACAGTCCCTCAGACCTTGTGGGGGCAGGACTATTTTTTGGGGGGGGGAATAATAAAAGAATTCCTATGCCGCACAAGTAACCCAGAGATGCATCTTAAAGAAAAGGACGCATTCTACTCATGTAAAAACACACTGATT